TTGTGGGACACTCTTGTAGGACACTCTTGTGGGATACTCCTGTAGGAGACTCGTGTGGGACACTCTTGTGGGACACTCTTGTGGAACACTCTTGTGAGACACTCTTACGGGACACTCTTGTAGGACACTCTTGTGGGACACTCTTACGGGACACTCTTGTTGCACACTCTTGTAGGACACTCTTGTGGGTCACTCTTATGGGACACTCTTGTGGGACACTCACGAGCGTTTCGTACGAGACTTCCTCCAAAAGTCACACGTCAAGTCTCCAAAACGAGCGTTTCCTACAAGACTTCCTCCAAAAGTCACATGTCAAGTCCCCAAAACGAGCGTTTCGTACGAGACTTCCTCAAAAACTCACACGTCAAAGTCTGCAAAACGAACGTTTCGCGCGAGACTTCCTCCAAAAGTCCAGCGGAAAGACCCATCGGAGCACACACATCACGCAGCCCTGCCAAGCAGATTCGCGATTCCAGCCCCTCCAAACAACATCTGCTCACACGCCAATCCCAATGTGACAGCGACATTCACCTCTACCACGACTCACAACCTCCCGATTCCCTGCGCCTGCCACGAATCTTTCCGCGTCCACACGTCTAACGCGCGCAAAGTACTGCGCCTGCCACGAAATGTGACCTCCGTCACACCTTGCAACCTCACGATTCCCTGCGCCTGCCACGAAAATCGCACTTCCACACCTCAAAGCACGCACAAAGTCCTGCGCCTGCCACGAAAAGTAACAATGTCATCTCATGTGAGCTTCAACAAAATTTGCACCACACCACACGTTTGGAATGATTTCGACCCGTTCTGAGCACACTCCCATCCACCAAAATCGCCATTTCGGCTGAGACTTGTCACGAAAACCGAGCTTCGATGCCACACCCTGAAACGCAAATCCCAATGGCACGGCCACATCCAACACCCCAAAAACACGACTCTCCAAACGCTAATCCCAATGGAACTGTGCAGCAATCTGCAGATCTCACCAAACGCTGCGCCTGTGCAGCGAAACGCATCACGTTGCTTGCGCGACGTGTCTTTTTCATGTAAATCACAATGGAATAGCGGCGCAAACTGACACGTGACACATCCATGAAAAGTCACTTGCAAAAGCTTCCCCCAATGGCAGCGCCTTAGCGCTCTAGTGCGGACGGTTGCGAACGGTTGCGGACGGTTGCGGACGGTTACGGACGGTTGCGAACGGTTGCGAACATAGAAGCAACGGGTCGCGAACAAAGCTCTACCCCCAGACCCCCAAGAGTTAAACGAGAACCCTTCGCTACGCACGGGAAAAAACGGGGCCCTCGGGATGATCGAAGAGTGACTCGAAGAGTGGGGACCAGAGAACAAGTGGCCCCCAAGAAAGCCATATCTGCAATGTCAACTGCACACCCCAGTTCGGGCACAAAGAAAAAACCTTGCAAGATCAAGCTTCAGTCAATTACACATGATGAATACGGGAGGAATACAGCCAGCCGCAGCAGAAGCAAACCAGCAGCTTCAGATCAACACTGTGGGGTTTTCATGTATGCATTGGTATCCTGAAGCAGGTCTCCGAAAAACTTTCGTTTTACGACTCTTTCATGTTGCATTGGGGTTACCTGGTAACGTTGGGTCAGGATGACACCTGCATCATGTGAAGTCAGGCAGTTTTCACAACAGGATCTCCCATGTGTCCGGGAGTTGAACGCCCAGGAGGGGGAATGGAGGAATTTCCTCTTCTTCACCTTCTTCTTCTCTTCAAATGTGGATGTAGACATTTGAACTCATGCCTGCCGTGCCTCCACCCATCGCCATGCCCAAGCCCCGCCCGCTGGTCACCTTGGTGGTGCAAGTTCCGTTGCCGTCAGTTGGACTGGAAAGGTAGCCTTTCCAAAGAAACATCACTTGCATAGAGTTCGGTATAGCCTTTTGCTGATACACTAGTTGTCAAGCCCCAAGTTGACGGGGTTCACAAAGGGAGGGCCCAAGCCGTGTGGGATTTGATAGAGGGTCATATATTTATATAACTTAGGAAACATCACCCAGCCTCACCATGGTGTATCGCCATGGTGCATTGGTCATCACCGGATGAGTGATTTGTTAAGAGACCAGGAAGCGGCGACATAGCTACCTCTCACTCAACCTTGGATTCCATTTTTGTTCTACGTGTAATTGTCAAGAACCAAACAGGTAGGGAAGGGACTGGTCAAACTATCATCGCCATGTGGTTGTTGACAGCTGTACCCTGATTTTTCTGCACCAACAAGCTGGGTTGCAGAAATGTAATGATGGCCACAGGCCAAGGAACCTTTGGTCTCATCCATCTTTTTGCCTCCATGGTTTTGGAATCCACCACTGCAACCACTGCGCCGCCCCTGGCCAAGATGCGTGAACTGAGTCCGAGAAACCAAGGCCGATATATCGCTTGTGTTTGGGCTACACCCATCTGCACAAGCAAGTTGCAATTCTGAGTTCATGCTCTTGCTTACGAAAAAACCATGGCATGACGCCAGTAATACCAAAGCAGAAGTCCCTACACAGCAATAGTAACTACGAGGGATGGCAAACATATTGGAAGCGCTGCTTGCCTGTATCCAAAGCAGCGGTACAAAACAACATCCAAAAGGGGACACTGCCTTGCTTAGGTGTCTGCTATTGCAAATTTGGCCTGAATTTTGCGAACCCCCAACTCTCTCACAGAACCCACTGTTGGAAAATAAAAACAAAACATATGGTCCATTGATCAAAGTTCTTTCATCCTGGAATGGCCATTCTTCGCGGAAAAAAATATCTTTCGCGGCCTCATCGCGAAGCATGGTCCTACAACCATGTCTAGCTAACATGAGCCGGAGCATGTCATAGTATCACAAAATAGGGACAAACATCTGGCAGCATGACCCCAGTAGAAGGTTGAACGTTTCCACAGCTACTTGCGCCAAATAGAAAAAGGCACAGCTCAACCCAATCCTCGTGCCAGCTACCAACACAGGGTGATGCAGCTTGGGGAATGTTGGGGGGGCCTCAAGCTGGGAACCTGGACTTTAGCGGCACATTCGCGGATCTTTCGCGAAATTTCACTGGTGCTTTCCCCGGGAAGCCGTAACATTTACAAACATCTGCACAGCCCGTCAGAGCAGCTGCAGGTCGTTGCCTCACTGTCAGGGCTGTGCCTACTCAGGTTGCTAGTCTGTGACAGTGGGGACAGGAATTATCGGAGAATCCTTTACGCACTGGCAGGGCTAGGCACGGAAATGTTGACTCGTCCGCCCACCGGCTCTGCCGGAGGATTACCTTGTATTTCTATTCTTTGTCAGTCCGGTAGAAAGGAAAACATATGAAAGCGATGACCTTCGATAAGTCTTTCGCGGAAAGAACATATACTTTCGCGAGCCTCATCGCGAATCATTTCGCGGATGGTTCTAACAACAT